CCTCGCTCTGGGCCTCCTCGCTCTGGGCCTCCTCACTCTGGGCCTCCTCGCTCTGGGCCACCTCGCGCTGGGCCGCCTTGCGCTGGGCCTCCTCGCTCTGGGCCTCCTCACTCTGGGCCTCCTCGCTCTGGACATCCTCACTCTGGGCCTCCTCGCTCTGGGCCTCCTCGCTCTGGGCCTCCTCACTCTGGGCCTCCTTGCTCTGGGCCTCACCTTGCTCTGGGCCTCCTTGCTCTGGACCTCACCTCGCTCTGGGCCTCCTTGCTCTGGGCCTCCTCATGCTGGGCCTCCTTGCTCTGGACCTCACCTTGCTCTGGGCCTCCTTGCTCTGGGCCTCCTTGCTCTGGACCTCACCTCGCTCTGGGCCTCCTTGCTCTGGGCCTCCTCATGCTGGGCCTCCTTGCTCTGGACCTTCTTGCTCTGGACCTCACCTTGCTCTGGGCCTCCTTGCTCTGGACCTCACCTCACTCTGGGCCTCCTTGCTCTGGACCTCCTCGCTCTGGGCCTCCTCACTCTAGGCCTCATCTGGCTCTGGACCTCGCCCAGCTCTGTGCCTCGGCCCTCCCATTGGCCAGATGGCCTTCCTCACTGCTAGGCACAGGGTCAGCCCAATCCTCATGAAGGAGACTTCTGTCCAGCCTGTGGTGACCTCAGTCCTAATGATAGCCATTAGTCACAGGAGCCTAAGGAGCCAAGGTGTCGTCTCCCCCTGTGAAACTCAGACTCCAGGGGAGGTGGCTCCAGAATGGTGTCAGGGAGGACAGAGATGCGCATGGGTGGGGACAGAATAGAGAGCAGAGATGAATGTGGGTGGGGACGGGGAGGGGGCAGGGATGGATGTGGGTGGGGACAGGGAGGAGGAGGGCAGAGATGCACATGGGTGAGGACAGGGAGGGGGGCAGGGATGGATGTGGGTGGGGATAGAATAGAGAGCAGAGATGAACGAGGGTGGGGACGGGGAGGGGGCAGGGATGGATGTGGGTGGGGACAGAATAGAGAGCAGAGATGAACGAGGGTGGGGACGGGGAGGGGGCAGGGATGGATGTGGGTGGGGACAGGATAGAAGACAGAGATTGACGTGGGTGGGGACAGAATAGAGAGCAGAGATGGACATGGGTGAGAACAGGGAGGACAGAGATGAACGAGGGTGGGGACGGGGAGGGGGCAGGGATGGATGTGGGTGGGGACGGGGAGGGGGGGCAGGGATGGATGTGGGTGGGGACGGGGAGGGGGGCAGGGATGGATGTGGGTGGGGACGGGGAGGGGGGCAGGGATGGATGTGGGTGGGGACGGGGAGGGGGGCAGGGATGGACGTGGGTGGGGTCGGGGAGGAGGCAGGGGAGGGGGACAGAGATGAACATGGGTGGGGACGGGGAGGGAGGCAGAGATGGATGTGGGTGGGGACGGGGAGGGGGGCAGGGATGGACGTGGGTGGGGACAGGGAGGGGGGCAGGGATGGATGTGGGTGGGGACAGAATAGAGAGCAGAGATGAACGAGGGTGGGGACGGGGAGGGGGCAGGGATGGATGTGGGTGGGGACGGGGAGGGGGGCAGGGATGGATGTGGGTGGGGACGGGGAGGGGGGCAGGGATGGGGGAAAGAGATGAACATGGGTGGGGACAGGGAGGGAGGCAGGGATGGATGTGGGTAGGGATGAGGGGGGAGGACGGGGAGGGGGGCAGGGATGGGTAGGGATGGGGGGAGGACGGGGAGGGGGGCAGGGATGAACAGTGGGACCCAGGCTCAGCCCAGTCTGTGGCAGGCTGCTGCCCTCGACACCCACCCTGCTCCCGGGGAGAGGGGAAGCACACAGGCTGGCTCCATTCACTCCACTGGCTCCACAGAGGCTCCTCCGCTACCACCTCAGCATCCAGGACAGCCATCTGGACGCGCAGTCTAGCCTCATAAGTGGAGCCGGGGCTCAGCTCCACGGCTTCGAGGATGAGCCGGGTCACACCCACAATGCGGTCCTTGTACCGGGCCTGCTGCAGGGTTGGGGCGTCGGCTTGTTGTGGGGATGTGAGAATGTTCTCACATGCACACTTGGACGGGGATGCACCATCTCCACGCACAGATGCACACTTCCACATGCATCACACCCATGAGTGCATGTGCACAGAGGCTCCGCGACCCCTCCTCCTGACAGAGAGGGGCCCGCCGGGGAAGGCAGCCAGGGTTACCTCCCAGCCTTCTCCCCGCCGTCTGAAAGCCAGCTCATAGCTGAGAAGTGCACTCATCGGCTCCAGGACAGGACTCACACTCCAGGAAAGGAGGCAATAGCCAGAGCTGACGTTGCTCCGCAGATCAGAAGGAGGGTCCAGTTTAACTGAAACAAGGCAAGGCCCAGCAAGGCTGCAGCTGTGTGCTTGGATCAGATAACCCAAACTCGGGGAGCTGGGAATGGACGGGAGTCCAAGGTACAAGGTCAAAGTCCATAGGCCTCAGTGAGACCACAGGCCTCACTGAAAGGCAGGTCAGGGAAGGCCACGTGGGGAAGAGGTGACAATGATTCCCGCTGGACCTCCGCAAAAAGGTGCTTTCTAAACCTCCGCTTCCCTGCCTTCATGATCTATAGTTGGGAGTTCTTGCTGCTGCCTTGCTGGAGTCCTTACTAAAACTGAAGCGTGTTTCAAATGACTCCTGTCCCACCTAGCCAAATATCTTCACTGTCTATGAAAACCCCAACCTCCCAGTCACCACCCAGATCCATCTTCCAGTCCTGGGTCTCCCGTGAGATCACAGATGTCACAGGCTGGGGGCCCTGACCCACCACCAAGCAAGCAAACAGCCCCTAGCGAAGTGGCCCTGCTCACTGTGTCTCCACGGGAGATACTGGCGGTCCACCAGGCTGACGTGCTCCCTCCCAGACAGGCGGCGGTGGAGTGTGATGGTGAAGTTGTCAGTTGGCAGGATCATCTCCTCGGGGGGCAGCTCCATGGTGCACGTGCTGCCCTGGAAAACGCACCTATGCTCGCCGCCAGGGGCCTGGTTGCTGGAAAGGATTGGCACCGAGGGCGCTGCTGCCGTGGGAGCCCTCCCTCTCCTGCCCTCTCTCCTGGGCCTGACCCTCTGCCCTTACCTGGTGAAGAGAAGCCAAGGACCAGAGTCCTGAGACAACTCCGGGCCAGACCATCGGCAGTCGATCCTGAGGATGCTGTCCGTGAGACAGGTGAGAGGCCCGACCCTCGGCCCTGGGGAGGAGGACCACAGGGGGTCGCCAGTGGGAGCCTGGAGAGCTGAGCGGGTGGGACACACCTGCCACTGAGCACTGACAGGGCCGTCTCCAAAGAACAACCTCAGAAGTCCTCAGGGCCAGAGCCGGGAGGCCCGGGAGCTTGGCAAAGGTATGGAGCTAAAAGCCCAGAGGACCCTTGAGGACAGTCCTAGGACATTTCAAGCCCATGCTTCTCCCCAAGGTTGGGCAGACATCCTGCCCCTCACCCACTCCCAGCTCCCCACCAAGCCACCTCACCCAGCCCCAGGGCCCCCCCCTCACCTCCTCTCTGCCGGGGGACAGAGACGCCCAGGCAGGTATGGCAGCTGCACATACAGGTGCAGAGCAGGAGCCAGGTGCCCACGGAATCAATCAGGGCCTCGCCCTCCACAGGCCAGCCTGCAAGGGCCTTGACTGAGAAGCTTGGCTTGCCCCAATCGGGGCCTGCCTCACCCTCCACGGGCCAGCCTGCAGGGGCCTTGACTGAGAACCTTGGCTTGCCCCAATCGGGGCCTGCCTCATCCTCCACGGGCCAGCCTGCAGGGGCCTTGACTGAGAAGCTTGGCTTGCCCCTCCCCTTTGGAAAGGGCTTCTCATGAGGTCCCACTGCAGAGGCCCAAAGGGGGGCACCACGTGCACCCCCACAAGATGCTGTGCAAGGGCTAGGCCAAGCCCAGCCTCACCAACGAGAGCTGGAGCCCAGGACAGCTTCAGCAACTCCGTCTCAGATCTGCTGTGTGTCCATGTGTGTCTAGAAGGCTTCTCTGACCCGACACCGTCTGCCATCCCATCCCTCGTGCCAGAGCCCTTACCCATCCTGCAGAGGCCAGTCCCCAGGAACTGCGGACCGGGAGGGTGGTGGGTGCTGGGGCCTGTGCGGCTGTGGAGCCGGCACTTTCCACTCGGCTCCGACCACGGCTGTGGGAAAGGCGCAGACGTGGGTTTCCCGAGGAAGGCAGGCGTCTGGCCTGGGGTGGCAAGGCTGGCACCCGTGTGCTCCACCTCCCCTCACCACCTTAAATGAATCCACCGCAGGGCAGAGGAGGGTGAGGAGGGCAGCAGGCACTAGTGCAGCACACAGCCCTCCGTAGCCTGTTCCAAGGGCAGCACCCCGAGACAGACAAGGCCTGAGCCCAGGGGTCCAGACACAACCAGGGCTGTGTCAGGAAGAGCCTGGCTTGTGGGGAGGCTGCTGGGGCCCTATCACCCCATTTGCAGCTTCAGATGGTTCGTGGATAGCCTGAGCAGGAAGCCAGGGCAGCGTAGTTATACAAGCCTGATGAGCGATAAGGAGGAGGGAGGAAGCAGACCTGCAGACCGCGCTGCAGGAACCTGCCCCTCTCCAGCAGGGTCACCTCAGTGCTGCCCGTCCCCGCAGCCTGTCTCCACGCCTGTAGGGTGGACCTGTCATGGCCTCGTCCCTTGGGAAGGAGCGGGCATCTGACAGCAGCAGCAGCAGCAATGTCAGGGGGAATGCTCCAGGCACTTTTTTTTTGGGTCTGGTCGTGGGGCCTGAACTCTGGGCCTGGGCGCTGTCCCTCAGCTCTTCAGCTCAAGGCTAGGGCTCTACCACTTGAGCCACAGCGCCACTTCCGGCTTTTTTTCTTTTTTTGCTTATGTGATGCTGGGGAATCGAACCCAGGGACTCAGGCATGCAAGGCAAGCGCTCTACCACTGAGCCACCTTCCCAGCCCTCTCCAGGCACTTTCTATCCCCTCTTGCAGCAACTCCTGGAAAGGTGGTGACAGGACTGGTGGACCACTGTCGGGACAGATGAGCCCATGTCCTGCAGGACCCATCGGCTCATCAGAGACACTGCCCAGTCAGGAGCTGGCTCAGACCTCAGGGCAGCCCTGCATCCTTGAAAAGGCTCCTGTGCATAACATCAACTCAGAGTGATCAAAGACCTGAAACTTTGAAATTACTGCAAGAGAGTGTAGGAGAAACACTAGAACTCATAGGCATAGGCAGAAGCTTTGAAGAGTCCCAGGGGCACAGCGTTTAAGAGTGAATTGACCAACTGGATTACAGCAAAGCAAAAAGGTTTCCATAGCAGAGGACACAGTTACTAAACTAGAAAGACAGCCAACAGACGCGAGAAGAGATTTACCAGCAACACATCTGACAAAAGCCTAATATCCAAAATATACAAGGAACTCAAAATTTTAACCCCTCTCCAAAAAATCCCTAATAAACCAATTGATAAATGGGCAAAGAAGCTAAGAGGAGACTTCTCAGAAGATGAGGTAAGAATGACAAAAAATATATGAGGAAATGCTCATCAAAGAAATATATAAGGAAGCCAGGCGCTGGTGGCTCATGCCTGTAATCCTAGCTACTCAGGAAACTGAGATCTGAGGATCGCAGTTCAAAGCCAGCTCAGGAAGGAAAGACTGTGAGACTCCTATCTCAAATAAACCACCAGAAAACTGGAAGTGGCGCTGTAGCTCAAGTGGTAAAGGGCTCGCCTTGAGCTGAAGAGCTGAGGGACAGCGCCCAGGCCCAGAGTTCAAGCCCCATGACTGACCAAAATAAAATAAAGTTATAGATATATATATAGATATATAGATATATGGAAATGGCCACTAAGGAAGTACAAATCAAAAACAAGTCTGAGATTCCATCTTACCCAGTCAGATTGGCCAACATTGTGAATTCAAGCAACAACAAACGTTGGTGGGGATGGAGGGCAAAGGAACCCCACAGCATTGCTGGTGGGAAGGTAAACTAGTACAACCACTCTGGACAGCAGTCTGGGGGTTCCTCAAAACACTAAAGATAGAGTTTCCCTAGGACCCAGCCAGACCATTGCTGGGCCTCTACCCAGAACCTCACAAGCCAGGATACCATAAAGACATTGCTGCACTATTAATAATAGCCATGTTGTGGAAACAGCCCAGAGGCCCTACAATAGATGAAAACTGTGGGACCTCACACAGCCACGAGGAGGAGTATTGTCATTTGCCGGGAAATGGATGGACCTATGTTTTCTCTTCATCAAATATTTACTGGAACGCAGTAGATTATACAGGGATTGAGACATTCACACACAATGAGACCAAAGGAGGATAGTCTTAGGGTGGAACACAAGGGCACAATGCCTATCTGATAGCATAAAATAATAGTTATTGAAATGAACACCAGGAAATGGAAACAAGAGTGGTTTCTGTGGCGGTTTCTGTTTTTTTTGGGGGGGTCTTTGTTTATCTGTCTTTGGGAGGGCAAGGGGAGAACAGAAGTGGAGGGACAAAGGGTGAACACATGCAGTACTCACTAGACACGATGTTGAAAACGCACTGTGCAACTGCGTGCAGGAATCGGAGGGAAAACTATTGGAGGGAGTGAGGGAAGGGGAGCCACTGTTCGAAAAGAAATGTACTCGTTACCTGACTGGTGTGCCTAGTCCCTCCCCTCTGTGTACCACCTTTATAATAACAACTTTTAAAAAGGCACCTGCACAGAATAGGCCCAGCCTGGCTTCCACCAACCCAAGCTCAGAGCAGTGAGTGGCTCCCAGGTCAGCAGGGCCCCCTTTGTAGACAGAGAAGAAGGGCTCTCTAAGGGGAGCGCTCTGACGGTGCCCCAGAGTTGGGCACTGCCAGTGCAGCACAGTCTTCACACAGGACACCACCACCTATACCAGTAAACTGAGTGGGGTGGGTCAGGCCTAGGGAGACCAGGGACTTGCTCAACAATTAGAACCTGGCACCTCTGTTCTCGCTAGGTGTCCCACAATCTCTCACAGAGCCTAGGAGCTTCCTGAGAGAAGTGTTTGACTCCTATAAGCACACAGCCCCAAGACCCACACACACACCTAAATGCTTCATATGTAGGGTGAAGCCTTGGGCAGAACCTAAACCACCCTACTTACAGTGGCACTGCAGATCTCTGTCTTTGCGGGCTCCTTGGACACTGAATGGGACATTACTGAAGCAAGGCTCCTTGCTCTGGCTGGCAGACTGGAGACCAGGTGCTCAGGGTAAGTGCAGAGAGCTCACTAGTCCCAGGAGAGGCACTGACTTGGGCCCACAATAGCCAACACCACATACAAGGCAGAAGAAAGCCATGTCTGTCATCTTGGAATGAAGCTGCTTCCTGTCTGCTGCACCAGTCCTGCGGAGGAGCCTGGCCAGCATTGCTCTCCCGTCAGTTCTGAAGACGCAACCCTCAGCCCAGACTCTCTAGCCCCTTCCCAGAGTCCCATCCCCTTCATGACCAAAGCTTAGGTCTGAGTCAGATAACCCATCTGCCCTGTTTGGGCCACCATGAAAACGTGGGTTCTGTGCACGCAGCTACACTCCTGTCTTCAACTCAGGCTCCATCACCCCCGGGGAGGCCTCTACGTGGACTCTGTTCCTTTCTTCCTTGGTCATGGCAAGCGGCTGTCATGAGGGTTGGTCAGGTGGCTCTGAGCTCCCTTGGTGTCTTGTACCACCTGCCCAAGTCAGTGTCACTGGGAGCTAGCCACTGCATTCACGAACCCCCCCCTCTCTCTCTCTCTCACACACACACACACACACACACCTCATTCCTCACCAGTCCCAGGTAAGGCTTAACAGTGAGCCACAGCCCAGACCCACTTTGCATCTCGATGTGGGAAGGGGACTTCACACAGAGGCAGATAGATGAAGACTGCTAACTACATGAACCCCTGACCAGCAGTTTTCTCTCTGCTAGAGATGGAGGAAGAAATGCAGCCCCAGGCTCTGCAGAAGTAACCAAAGCCCAGAGACCTGCAACCCTTTGGGCCCACAGGGGGTGGGGCCTCCTCTGCCCCAGGCGGACGCCGCACATTGCTGAAAATAGCACACCTAAGGATGCTGTTTCCTCTGGCAACGCTGGCGGAGGTGAAGCCAGCAGAGCCAGGAGGACAGGACAGACCATCTCAGTGAGGACAGAGGCAAAAGAGAAAGGGGCAGGGAAGGCCTAGAAGAGGAGGCCGCCCCCAAGAGTATATTCCCACATACTTTGGGGTGAGGGGCCCTTCTAGGAGCAATAGCTGTGAGCATATCAGATGAGGTTTGGACACAGAAGTGGGGGTGGACAAGGCCACAGACTCAGGCAGAGGGAAGAGGTCGAGGACAGAGGTCCCAGGAACAAGAAAGGCATCGTGATAGCAAAGTGGCCCAGGGAACCCTTCTGTAGAACTGCACACAAGCGTGCCTCCTGACGAGGTGTGACTCAGAGCCCAGGCCCCAGCCCGTCCCATCTGCCCAGCTCCCGTTCCCAGCCTAGAGCCTTCCCCAGCCCGGGGCACAGCTAGAGCCAGGCCAGGTTAGCACTGGACTTGACAGGAATGCTGAGGTGACAGTGGGCATGCTCCGGTACAGGTGTTGGCCGGTTCTTTTGGTGGGAGGAAATGTGGCACCAGCGTGGACCTCCCGCCCAGCACGCCCCTCAGCAGCCTAGCGGCTCACCTGTCCACTGCGAGCAAAGCTCCTAGCTGTACCGTGTGGGGTAAAACTGCTAAGGACTTGTGCTGCATCTCTTGGACCCACTCAACTCCATAGCCACTGCCTCCTCCACCTCCTAGCGTCAACACTGGGTATGAACAATGCCTTGTCACTCAGAGGGAGACATAACCAGAGGTCATCCTGGGAAAACTCCCACTCCACCTCCAGAGGCCAAGTTCTGGCCTAGAGTAAGGGCAGAACAGCAGTGTCCTAGGGAGAATGAGTAGGGCTGGTGCAGAGCCCCAGAAAAGGTGAGGGTTGCTTCAAATATAAACATTTAAAAGCAATGAAAAGGGGCTGGGAAGTTGGCTCAGTGGTAGAGTGCTTGCCTCACATGCATGAGGCCCTGGGTTCCATTCCTCAGTACCACATAAGCAGAAAAGCTGGAAGTGGCTCAAGTGGTAGAGCACTTGCCTTGAGCTGAAGACCTGAGAGACAGCGCCCAGGCCCAGAGTTCAGGCCCCACAATTGACAAACAACAACAACAATGAAAAGCCAGGCACCTGTGGCCCTTTTTTTTTTTTTTTGGTTGGTTGTGGGGCCTGAACTCTGGGCCTGGGCCCTGTCCCTGCACTCTTCAGCTCAAGGTTAGCGCTCTACCACTTGAGCCACAGCGCCACTTCTGGTTTTCTAGTGGTGTATTGGAGGTAAAGAGTCTCACAGCCTTTCCTGACCAGCTGACTTTGAACCGCAATCCTCAGCTCTCAGTTTCCTGAGTGTGGCTCATACTTAAATCCCAGCTACTCAGGAGGCTGAGGATTATGATTCAGAGCCAGTCCAGGAAGGAAAGTCTGTGAAAATCTAATCTCCACTAAAACTATCAAAACAAGCTGGAAGTGGAGCTGTAGCTCAAGTGGTAGAACACTAGCCAGAATTCTCAGTAGTGGGGGAGGGGGGGCAAGTGGGGGGGGGCAAAACAAAACACCCTCCCAGTCCTCCCTCCTCTTCCTGAAGCCCTCTAGCACCAGCTGTGTCCACGCTCCTCTTCTGCAGTGAAGCCACCCACGTCTGGCTGTGTGGAGGGGTTCCTCATTAATACCTCATGGAGATCATAGCTAAGTCCATCCACTCAACAAGGCCCAGTTGCCTTCATCCCAAATGTCCTCTCAGTCTCGGAGGAAGCAAAAGTTCTTTCCTAATTAGACATGACAACTGGCAGATCAGCGCCCTTCCCTCTGTCCAGTCAGGCTGCAGCGACCATATCTGACTTCACAACTCCCACAGGTCTGGGAATTACACCTTGCAATTCATACTCGGTATTGCAAGCTCTGCCATCTCTGAGAAGTGCCCAAGGCCAGGACCCTAGAGGGGTAAAACCGGGTGGTAGACCCAATACTACACTTCATGATGTGTCCGCGGGGCTCAGGGGGAGGTCACAAGTCTCTCTGTGTCTCCTGAAGTTAGGCTGACTTCAGAGGTTGGGAAGCTAAGCACACAGACTCACCTTTCCAGGGGCGTCTGCCGAGGGTCATCGGGAGCTTCAGGCGCCTCAGCCAGGAGGCGGCTTGTCACCCACTGTCCCTGTTGTACAGCAAAGCCCCACACCCAATCCAGGAGATGACTGCAGCAGGCTGTGATGCCAGCCTCAGGGAGGCTGACATAGGCCACCCACATCAGAAACCACAAGCACACCACAGAACTAATGGCCCCCAGGGCTGAGAGTGGTGTCTGAGGTGGAGTAAGCAAGTGTCGTTGGTGATTTGTCTCCTGCCTGCTAGATGAAGACACACATCCCTCCTAAGACGTACCACTGAGGGCCGGGCACCGGTGGCTCACGTCTGTCATCCTAGCTACTCAGGAGGCTGAGATCTGAGGATCACGCTTCAAAACCAGCCCAGGCAGGAAAGACCATGAGACTCTTATCTCCAATAAACCACCAGAAAACCGGAAGTGGC